ACAGAAGAATAAATGTATGAAAATATTATTAAAAAATATATTAAAAAAAATGAAATAAAAGAAAAGGCAACCATGATTCAAAATCTTAATTAGAAGAATATATGTCATGGATCAAAGACAAGGAAAAACAAAAAGTATCACCGTCGTTTATTGGAGTATATTCTCGCTCGAAATCTATACCATTTTTTCTAGAAAACATCAGCAACAAATATGCTGCCCGAATCACACCATCCCGCCAAAATATCCCTATCCGAACACTGCAAAAATGGAAATGGGAAAACTAAGATGTGTGGTCTTTCTAAAACGAGCTGCATTTTCACAAACGCAGTAAATTTACGGGCACACACAAAAATGACGATTATCTATCAAAGTTGATAAAAAGAATGCCTTCATGTTTGTTTCTGCTTTTATGAATCAACATTACCGGAGAAGAATTCTTTTATCATGTATACAAAATAGTAAAAGTAGAGAGGAAGATAGAGAATTAACGAACTTTGGGTATGATCTTTAATTGAAGCTGTATATATATTGCAGTAAAAGATACGAATTTGAGAACCCATTTTTTAGCCCTCCTTAAAAGAAAGACATTTGTGAAGTTCTAATAATGTACGCTTTACAAAGATGAGGGTGATAACGATCGAACCTTGCTGAACCCAAGCCAGTTCGAGTCCCCTCTAAATGAAAATGCTTTCTTGCTTTCTTTCCATTGTCCACAAAGAACCTACAAAAGTATTGAGATTTAACATTCATTTAACATATGTAGCAACTCAAAAAATCCATTGTTTATTTAACATTCATTTGCTTTCTTTCCATAATTTTATTTTATTTTATTTTATTTGCACTGTTCTTAAAAATCCATGCCTAGACAGCTAGACTCACATAGTCTCTAAATGTGATTCCCTAGACTCTACTTAGCGACCTATATTTTTTATTATATTGAGCCGATAGACATGCTGGATAAATAAACAAAGAAAAAGGCACAACCGCAGTAAATAAATAAATGAAGAAGGTGATAATGAAGGATCAACCATCAGGAAAATTGGTGCTAAAATGTTAAAAGAATTTACCTCATAATCAACTCCTTGGACATAGATATAATTAGGGTCGACTGATGAAAAAGTCAGTCCAGTTATCTGCAATATACAATAAAATAATAATGAGGAAGCGAGATATACAGTTCGAAGCTACATTCTTTTACCCAAAATAAATTTGGAGCCACATTATAAGAAGATTTTCAAGAGAAAATCACAAATGAAGACATTAATCCCAACTTTTAAAGTCAAAAAATATTATCTTTTGCCAACTAACATCACTGGTCAGAAATTAGGAAACAGAACTCTCTCAATCAAACCACAAATTTTTGTGAGCACAGTTAAGGACAATGGACACCATACAAGAGAAAATATAAAAAGAATTGATAAGAATCCACATAACCGAAAAAAATAAAGCGATGCATGCAAAACACTGACCTCATATTTCGAGCAGTTTAACCATCGAGATATTGCGCACCATCTGCAATACCAAGCTTGAGTTAGAACCAAATTACTTCCAAAAACAAGTTTCCCAGCAGATCATTAAAGAAAGTCAACCAAAACTAAGTCCTAAACAATTAGATGATAAAGAAAGAAAGAAAGAAAAACAAGACTGAAAAGCTAAAATTCCTGCAAAAACATACAATCCTGAAATTTAACCTTGAGGTTTAAGCCTCGTTACTCGCATAAACGTAAGAAAAAAAAAAATAATAATATCTTTTCAATAGAATCACCCCTCCAGATTTGTGTTTGGGAACAAATATGTGCACTTTTAAAGTGGAAATAAATATTGATCGACTATTTGTAATAC